TTAAAAAAATTGACAAATAAAATTTGAATAGCTGTAATTTTTTATAACCTAACTTCATAGTACTGTCATGTTTTATAAAAATATATACAGATATCTCCAAACATGTGGAACAATCCCTAACATTAAAGTTACTAGAATCTGGTAACTTCCGCCATTTTTGGGCAAAAATCATGCGTTCTCTCTCTAACACACGAGCCCAATGGAATGCGGTACTTTCTATATTTAGTGACTTTAACATTATATTACAGCTTTCATTCTAAAGTTTGTTGTTCTATGAACATTACAAGGTATCTATGATTTCACAATCAAACAACATTCTTTTTTTCAAATTTGTGTGTTGAACATTAAAATTGTTGTAACGTATTATCGAAGTACAAAAAATAGCCTGTAGGATTAACGTCTCAAACCAACTATGGTTTGAGTAAAACGGCACCCTTGGGATTAAAACACACTTTAGTCCCTTGATATATAATATACTATTTTTATTTATTTATACAGTTTCTGAAATTCTGATAATCAAGAAAACTACTACTGCAATTAGGCCAGTAAATGAACGTGGAATACGGCGATACTGTGTAATTTTCCGCGTCTCCACCGAATCGCATGAAAATTTGGATTTAGGTTCCTCTTACCCTCTACTTCAAAGGTGAACTTGAGCCCAGGGTTGCTTTTACTTGGGGGATGAATGCCACCCCTTCTCGGGGGGTAAAAAAGATATGTTCAGAATAAGTCCGGAAATTGATAAATTGAGTAATTCTAAGCAACTTTTGTTCTATAGAGTTTTTTCACTAAGTCAATAGTATTCGAGTTAATTGCGAGTGAAAATGTTCATTTTTCAACAAAAAAACTACGTTTTCAGACGGTTTTTCGCAAATAACTCTAAAAGTAAGTATTGTATCGAAAAAAGTATTCTTAGCAAAAACATAGCTTATAAACAGACAAACAAAATGGTCTATATATGAAGTCTGTAGACCCAGTAGAAGCACAGTTGTAGCTCATGAAAAGTAGGTTCTCATTCGTCAAATTCCAAATCGAGTACTTTTTAAAGTGTTTGAAAAAACCTTTCTTTTTGTTTTTAAGAAAAGTTCCTAGCATCAAAACTAAGTGAGTTACGTTCAAAATAAAGTTGGTTTTTTTTTTTTTGTAAAAATAATTGAGGAAATCACCCCCTAATTAGCACCCCAATTACAATACAAATAATCAAATTCAGTGCCGGTTTACCGGTTAGGCACGGTAGGCACGTGCCTAGGGGCGCCGACCATTTAGGGGCGCCAGCCGCCAGTGCCACCACCAGGTATCGTACGCCCACTGAATGGAATTTCCCATACCGATGTGCTTACGACTTTTTAAATTTAATTCCTTAGTGTTGTGTCATTTTTTACGACAAAGATTAACAGTAATTACACATTCATTTTGAAATGTGTACATTTACCTACTATATAACAGGATATGAAAACTGAGAAGCTGCAATTTTTGTGTCAAATTGATATACGTAATTGCAGAGCGAGACTACTATGAACTTTTCAAGAAATTCTCTCGGCAGAGTGAGACTTAATGAATTGGCACTTCTACACATGAATAGTGATATATTAGACCGCATAAATGTTGAGGAAATTTTGGATAAATTTGCTTCACAAAAGGCTAGAAAAAAAAATGTTTTAGAGAACTATGACTTTTTTATTATTTAAAAATACCTTTTTCGATTCAGTTTTAGAAAATTATTATTTTTTGACCTATTTAAAAACGCAAATAATTTATTTTTCGTGAAATTATACTGTTCAGACTAATTTTTTAATAAAGGAATTTTTTAGGTGTCGGGTGGGCGCTTAAAGGGCTGTGCCTAGGGGAGAAAATGTTCCTAAACCGGCACTGATCAAATTGTATGTATCTTTAAGGAAGAATTTTTCCTCAAATTCAGAGGTAGATAATCATATTATTGATACCACATGGAACAAGATAAGCGACCCATTCGTTTACTCTTTGATCTACTTTAAAATAAAAATAATGGAATTTGATGTATTTTTTAGCAAAATTTTTTCTCAAATCTGATATTTAAAAGAATTGTAGGTGAAACACCTGATCAAGAATAATGGTACCAAAAGGAAGAGGATAGGCATCACATTCGATCACTCCTATCTGATTGATGATCAAAATGAATTGCCGTTAATGGAGAACTGTTGGCCAAATTCCAATACTTAAAAAAACGGTAAAAGTAGGTGAAAACCCATTCAAAACACAAAAAAGTTTTATCTTACCTTTTGTTCCTGAAGCTGTGCTTTTACAACTTTGTAATCTGCAGAAGGTGCTTTTTGGTTAGCTACTAGCTCCTCAGTGTCTGTCAACCATTTGGCCAATCCGTCTAAAGCTTCTTGGAATTTGCCAGATTGTAATAGTGCAATATCTAGTCGTCTCTCGCGATCATTAATCTAAAACCAAATGATTACTACATTTTCACATACTTGCTGAATTACCTTTTCTTTTAGACTATTCCACAAATCATTCATTTTCTCTAAGTCTTTCTCCAGTGTGGTCGTATTAACGCCCGGTGAGGCGGACTGAATAAGACTCTGACCTATACGATTACAATCATCCACCATTTTGCTAAGTGGTTCGACGCTCTTGGCTCTGAATTTCTTAAAGTCTTGTTGCTGGGCTCTAATACTATCCACTTCGGATGCAACTGGTTTCATTTTGCGCAACTGCTCTGTAGTATCGCCTATGTTATCCAATACACTCGAATGATTCAAATAGAAATCCTGCAATTTCTTAAGCGTTCCTTCCAAATTTTGCTCGCGATTCCTTGCGCGTTCGTCCAACTTGCCCAATTGTTTCCGTAAACTATCCACCTGCTGTCTAGTCTGGACAGTATCGGGCGCAAAGCCACTGTCAACCAAGCGTTCGCCGGCGAACACAGCATCGTTAACGTCATCTGAAGCTTTATTAATTTTACCAATTAGGTTTCCTATGTCATCGATTTGTAGTTTAACTGTCTTGAATTCGCGACCAGGAGGTTTCATCGAATCTAGCTCTGTTTCTAAACCGGAAAGGTCGTTAGTTAGCGCTTTCACTTGATCATTAAACTGCATAACCGCAGTGGCGGCAGATTGTAAATCGGAACAACGATCGTCCAGTTTCGCATGCAACTCATTGATTCGATCTCCTAAACCGTCAACTTCGTCTTCTAAGTGATTGGCGTCGATACTATTCTCAGCAGCTTCGCGGACTAAATCAGTAGCCTGCTGGCGAACAGTCTGGTGCGGTCTTTTCAATTGGGCAACCTCATCACGTAAACTTTTTACACGATCGAGCAATTTAGGATCACGAGCAACACCACCTAATGCATCATGCGACGCCAATTTATCCTCACACCTCTCCAAACCATGCAGAAGTTCACGCAAATTTTCGTTAAAATCGGACAATTTCCTTGACTGATCCTCTAAAGCCTGCGTACGCGCAATGACATCATTATTTAACTTATCCCAACGGTCTTTTAAGTTATTCAGTTCGTTCTTAACAATATCTTTATCTATATCACACGCTGAATGGAATGTATCACCTAACGATCGCGTATTCTCGTATTCTCCCGAACGTTTCCACACTTCATTTCGAAAAACTTGCAGATCTTTCAATTGCTTCTCTATATGTTTACGTTTAAAGGATGACGGCTTTAGTGAATCTAATTTGTCTTCCGCTTGACGAAGCCAAGGTAAAAATGTCTCCAAGGTTCTGTAGTACTTGCGGCAGTGTTCCTGTTTGACAAAATTTGTTAGACAAGTGTCATAGTTCATGTTAACTTATAGCTTGTGAAAAACTAAAGAGCACTTATAAAAATCCAATAAATATGTTCATCAAACCCTTTCAAGTAGCTAACTTAAAGTATAGTATAGCTTTAATTTGATTAAATGACAAAGGTTGCACATTTAATTAAAGTTAAGGGTTGTGAATTTGAGAATCTGCAGTTTCCCTTAGTCTGAAAAATGAATAGATCAGCCAATCGAATTGATTCAACTCGATAGGTGTTTCGAAATTATTTTTGTATTTTGACCTTGAATTTGACTTCAACTCCAGGTTGAAAACTAACGCTCTTTATAATACGTATCAACTTACCATACATGTTTGAAGTCTGGTCTGCCTATCCATAGTTTCCTTTCTAAGTTTATCCCACTGTTGTTGTATTTTATCGACATCCCTTTGTAACGTTCGACTATCAGACTTGCTGTTGCGCGAGATCATATCTCTTCCTTTGTTTAACAGCATAATCACCTCATGCTCTCTTGCTAAGACCTCTCTGTAAATCGGTTCATGATGCGCCAATTGTTGTTCCAACACATCACGATCGGCCGAAATGAGTAATCGCTCCGATAGCGATCCAAGCTCCTCAGACAACCATCCTAAAGTTTTCGCGCACGACGCCTCAAACATCCTGCCGTCACGAAGAGAGCCCTCGATCTCCGCCTTTCTATGGTCCAATTTCTTCTGCAACGCATTGTATTGTCGTCCGATGGATGCCAGCTTGGCTTGAATATCAGTTCGGGACGCCGGATCGCTAAGCACATTGCAAAGTTGAATTCCGGCCGCTTCCAGGTCTGCCAATAGAGGACGTTGTCCCTCCAGTTGTCTTTCGAAATTTTCAATTTTGCGCAACTGTTCTTCGGGATCTCTATCCAAAGGTAACTCGTCAAGATTATCAGATATAGTTTGTAGGGCTTCACGTAAACGGGTATGCTGTGCATCAAACTCCCTGCTAGTGTCGACTGCTGCTCCTAAAGAATCAGCTCGCTCATCCAATTTTCCTAAAACAATCCGACGTGGTCAAGTACTTACACTATTGATGCAATATACCTAATAAATCGGACCATCGTTGTTGTACATTGGTGAGTTTGGTGTTCACCTTTTGACCATCAGGTGACCGAGGATCTAAGTAACTTAGGACTGAATCTCCAACATCGATTAGATGTTGCAATTGTGGTTGTTGTGTACGGAATTCCTCACGTAATACTTGCACCTGCTGTACTTGAGACTGGACCATACGAGAGTCGCTTGAAATCGGTCCCAGAACTGTTAGCATTCTTTCCTTGGCCGATAACCAAGACGACATGGATTCGTGGGTGTCGAGGAACTCTTTCATATCTTCCATGAATTTTATTCTAAACGGGATCGCTTTAGTCACACAGTTGTCATGACAGCGTTTGTGATAAATGAAAATAAATTAATTTATCGATTAATCGTGAAGGTCCAATAATGATCGAATAATTAATTATTATTAATTATAGTAATTCATTCATTATTTATAATTCGGCAACCAACATGAGATTTGATAAACCCATGATTAACACCAGTCATATAAGATCAACAAGATCAATAAAAATAATCAAGATGGTTTATCAGTCAATCCCCAAAGACGTCATCCTATTGTACAGATACCTACTTAGCTTGCTAGTTATTGATTAATCAATAAATCATTCTTTTGTAAATTTAACAGTCATAGATTAGTGGATAAGTTACTACATTAATGGTTTCTTTCACCTCTCTTCTAGTATAAAAACAGTCACGTCAATCATCGCAGGTAGCCGCCCACTGCAAAACTGCCCGTGAGGAGTACACAAATTATGCTATTATATTTTCACCTCTATCTAGCCCATGAGAAGAAATCATAAGTTTTGCAGGGGGCGGCTACCTGCGACTGTTTTTATACTAGACGACGTGTAGACACGAGCTTACCTATCCTTGCAGCGATCATTTAAGCTCTTCCATCTAGACACCACATCTTCAAGTTCATCATTCAGATTATCTGCACCGAGCGCTCCCGGTTTTCTTCTAAGCAAATCTTTGACTTGAGTTCGCGTCGAGTCGAGTAATGATTGTTTTTCGTACAATTCTTCCATAATCTGTCTGATCTGTTTCACGCTCTTATCGGCCTCCTCCTTCGTGTTGGGTACTATTTCTTTCGGCAACTGTCTCTGCACTTTATCCAAGAACGAATCCAGAATTTTCAAATTGTCTAAATGTTTTTTAACTTCGTCCCTAGTGCTGTCTATTTCAGATTGGCGATCGCTGATTTTAATGCCGAGCAGAGAGTATCGATTATTAATTTCGGAAAGCTGCTGTTGAATTGGCGATAGTTCTTCAAGGTGGAATCCGTCCTGGCTGGAACGGCGTGATGAAAATCCACTGGATCCACCAGGAGATATCGGTGATTGCATACTAATTCCCTTGGTAGGCGAAGGGGATCGGCCGTCTTGTGAACCGCGTCTTAATGGGCTGACTGCAATAGTAGTACGTTTCGTTGGACTATACGCTTGCGTTCGTTTTTTAGTTGGAGAATCTGGCCTTTCGCTTTTGACTAAATTATCGTACGAATTACCTACATCGTTGACTTTATCGATAGTGACTGCGTAATCTCTGTATTCTTTCGCTATCGGTTTCAGCTCATCATTCTGCAGTCGTAAAGTTTCCATATCGAGCGCAACAATTTCCAAACGAGTCATTCTAGTCTCCATTTTGGTTAACCATTCCGATACCTGAAGGCGTAGACCCTCATAGATATTCAATTGTTCCGCGCGTTGCAAGGATAACTTGTGTTTCTCATCAAGAAGACTATTCAGTTCTTTCCACTGGTTCTCCATGGCCTTAATTCTATCCCGAACTGGTGCAGTATCGGTGACGTCGCGTTTGTTAACCAGATCTTTACCGTCACGAATTGTGCTATCAAATAGCTCTCTCTTCCCGTCTCGATTTGCCGCGATATCGCTCATACGAGTTGTGTATTCCTGTATGCTCAGTTTGGCAAAATCGCGCGAGTCTAACAGTTCCACGATACCGGAATACCACTGCTCAAACTGTGTGGAGTGGGTGAGAAACACGCTCAAGTTGCTGTTAACATCTTCCAAAAATTCTGCTCGTTTTTGAGTTCGATCAAATAATTTTTCAAAGCGGACTTTAACATCGTTTAATTTTGTTTCGATTTGCTTGGCGACGCGCGCATTGCTCGTCGAGACGATTAACTCACTCGCTGATAAGTAGACGGAATCGATCGATGAAATATGTGTGTCGATATCGGATTGGAATACTCTGTGTTCTCGCAATTGCTCCTCAAGTCGGTCTTTGATTAACGAAGCTGGCCTTTGTAGATTTTTGAATTGATTTTCTGCCGAGTTAAGCCAGTTAACGATACCGTCGAGCGCGTCTTGAACGCCTTGGGATTGTACCAAAGCAGTATCAAGTTCTTGGCAACGTTCGGCGAGTGCATTTCCGAGCTGTTTGTATTTTTGATCCAATTCAATTACGGGTTGTTCCAGACGAGACATTTCAACAGGTGACAGTTGGCCCTCTAAAGAACGTAGCAGCGAATCCAGTGCCTATATTAAATAAATGTGGAGCATTAGTAGAGTGGTGGGAGAAATTTTGGTGCCTTTGTATAAATACCTGTTTGATGTTATCAATTAAGCGTCCATTCGCAATAAATTCATTATTAAGGGTTTTCGCCTTATTAAGTTGATCTTCTACACCTTTCGGATCTCCAGCGATAGGCTCATTGAGAACTTTATTCACTTTGGGCTCAACATCTCGTAACCACTGCCGCGCCTTGTCAAGAGCATCAGTATAGTCACGCTGGCGACTGCCCACACCAGACAGACGATCCGATAAGTTGTTGGCTCGGTGTAGCAAATCTCGGTACTGTTGGGTTACATATGAGACTTCGTTTCGTATGGGGGAGTCTTGAGAAGATAAAGGTTCAATGTGAGGTAAACGCGAAGGAAGCGAAGTACGGAATTCGTTTAAGACGTTGAGATATTCCTAAAAGAAAATGTTAAGAACATGTTTCGTAACGCGTTTGCTAATACTTTTGATTCGTCGAAGAATTTCTGAGCAGCCATGGTGATGAAGCGTAAATCGGCTTGGTGGGCAATAACGTCGGATACAAATTCCTTGGTGCTATCAGTACTAGAATCTAATTTATGCAAGTCACTCAAAGAACGTTCTTTTTCTTCCAATACTCTCCGCGCTTTGTTTAACCAAGTGGAAAAGTTGCTCAATTCACCTTTGAGCTTAAACAGCTCGTCTCTAGCAGCGAAAAGTTTTTTCAACAATCGTTCTGCACGGTCAACTGACTTATCATATCTTAACTTGAGATTCCTGCCACTCTTCTCTAGAGCAGACACCTCGCTCTTGGACAAAACGTCACCACCAGTAAGTACAAGTTGTCTTACTTGATCACCACAGTGCGACACTTGGCTCGCATGCTGATCTAAGTCGTCTTTGACTTGCTTCATTGTGTTTATCTGATTTCGAAGCTCCTCCTCACTTTCACGAACGACACTTTGAGACGATATTCTCCCTTCAACCTCGCTAATCCACTTAAGCAACTTTGACAACATATCGTCACATAACTTGTATTTTTCCTCCACCGCTTGCTGTAATATTTGAAAATATTAATAGTACCAAGTCAATTACTTGCGAGTGTCAACTTATTAAAAAAAATGTCATCTTACCTGTGCAACATTTAAAATAAACCTACATGAATCGAGTAAAAACTTAATTCTAAAATACCTAGGATACCTACACTTAACTTAATAATCTAGCGGTAAAATATTCTGTCTTAATTATGCAGTGCAGCCACACAGCAAAGCTAAGACCCTAAACCTAACACATGCATATTCAAGCACACACAAAAAATGGTCTGTTAGTACAAAATAATAAAATCAACACATGGATTTTATAGGTACTTCAAATGAAAGAAACCTGTAAACAAACTTTAGAATTAATGAAAACAACACACCTAAAAATTATAACTAAACTCAGTTTTGTCACTATTTTTTCAGGTGACAAAGATTGATGATTACCAAAACTGAATGATTATGATTGAAGAAAAATAGTGACAAAATGACAAAATCTTAACGTATACAATTGATCCAGTAGCTCTACTCATAAATTAAAATTAAGGTAACTACATATTAAAAAAATTAAGTGTGTGTTAATCTGTTTTAAATGAGAAGGTATAAAATAGAGATGATCGAAAAGTTGACATGAATATGCATTAATTTGTTAATGCAATATTTAATTCGCAATTTCTTTACGAATTACTAGTATTAGGCATCAATTATGAAGCGGTTGTTACTAATTTAGTGCGTTTGTGCAATCGGCTGTCATAATGCCAGTATCTGCACTCATACATGAGTGTACATGAAGTAGGACCAGCGCACAATTATCAAAAGCTCCCTCGATATCAGCTGGAAAAAATTAAACTCGTTTAAACATCGTGAAGCATTAAATTGCGATGAAAATTCTTTGTTTTGATACCTTCACCCAAAAACTCTTGCAGTATTGGCATGTGTGTGGAATACAAGGAAATCAATCCAATACTACAATTGAGGCAATTATCCATTTATTTATTACAACTTAACATACGTCCGACCTGGGTATTTGTTTTTCATTGTTACATGACTACTGCAAAAGCTATGTTATTTATTACTGTGATGCATCTGATTTAAATTTAGGAGTCAATAATTAAACAAAAGATTATTTTCAAGTGACTCGTGATTTTTCCATACTATCCAAAACAATCGAAACACAATTCAGACAATCTGATGGTACCTGATATCTACAAGCAAAAGAATGTTAATATTACCACATTTATTTTTTGCCAAAACCTATGCTAATTTATTTAGTTTTTTAATTATTTTCTATTATGAATGCGTTCCGTTTCCAGATGGCGTTAGTTACGTTCTATCTCGCGCACGCGTTGGATGAGCTATTACTTTTTAAAGTAGTACTGATGTACACGTGGAAAAGTAAAAGTTTAATCGAACTTTAACGTTTGACCAATTTATCACAAAAGGCTCTTTTCCCCGATGATTTAATAAAATAATTACATTTTCTGCATAAGGTACATGTTCGAATTAATTCAAAAAGACCTATGTTTAGTACCTTATATAAATTAAGGTGTAAATCAAATGGTTGCAGGTTATTCTTTGAGCCAGGTGAGGGGGGGGGGGGTCTAGAATGGTTGGCATTACGTCTTCCAGAAACTTGTATCTGAAGCTTCCATTAAGAAATGACCGCCATAAGTAGGTATATAAAAATTGCGACGCATATCCTGTGCCACACGTTCACCAATCCTTGGATAAAACGATGGGTAAATGTAAAACATCATTTTTTTACATAGTCTTTGTAACACACAGTGTCATGAAATTACAAAACGATGATTTCCTGAATGTGAGGGGAGTCTACATCGCAATTGTAATTAAGATATTTTTCGTGTGAACATCAATTGGGAGACGCAGTATATTGGTAATATTGATTCAGGCCGTATAAAAAAACATTTTAATGCGCTTATACAGAATCGTGATTTATTGAACCATTGAATTATGTAATATTCAAAATGGATAATTGCACAAATGATAATGTATGATCATAGCATGCTAAAAAAGCAGCATGCCCAAATGTATATCTCAAGCACAACACCAAAAAGCAAAAAAAAATTACATCAATTAGTAAAGGATACGTAAAATACAAACTTACCCGTTGTTCTGCCGGTAAGATTAATCCTTTCTCGAACGCTTTAATAAAATCTATACTTTTATTCTCAACTTTGTCTTCGATTTTCCCTGCGATCGGATCGATCAATTCAGTATCGATCGCCGACAGAAGAGGTACAACGGCTCCACTCTCAGAGTCTTTAATAACTGTGCTGGTCGGATCTATTAAATTATCGGTGATCGCCTCGGTTAAGGTGAGGCGTTTTCGATCAATTATCGTGCTCGTTATGAAGGGATTAGTGAATCCCCCGGTCGTCGGATTATATATGCCATATATTATGCATTCGATCAAAGTAAAACCTCTTCGGGGTGTCATTAATAGACCATTATCGATGGCAGCCGACAGTGAGTACAGTTTAGATGTGCTACTGTCGAGCACGTTACCTTTTTCGGCATCGACGAGACCCTTTCGAAATCCCTCGGGCAATTTGAGCAGTTTGTTTTTATTAACGTCTTTGACGAGAGCTGTATCTGAATTTATATAACCCAAAGTGACCGAATCTTTCAAACTGATTACGTCATTGGATTGTGGAATTGTGAATTTACCGGTTGTCGTATCTAAATGGCCCAGTTCTAAAGCTTGCGTGAAGGAGAAGGGCTCGCGTAGGTATATAGTGATTTTGGTGTCGTATGTGACGATCATACATTTCACGTTACTACTCGTATCGAAACTGATCACTTTATAAATGTTTATAATACCTCGCTCTATTGCCTCGGTAATCGTGATGAATTTACCGGTTTGTGAGTCTCGTAAAACCGCGCTGTTCGGGTCGATCAATTCGAAACTAAGAGCGTCCTCTAGAGGACATTCGCGTATAGGTTTCGATTGCGCCACCAAGTCGGTAACGCTCTCCTCCACTAGCGGTTTATCTAAGGTAACAAGTAAACCAAGTTGAAAAGCCTTGTCGAAATTGTAAGTCTGTTTTGTTTTCGAGTCGAGTACGCGTCCCTTTTCAACGTCTAAGTTACCGTCCCGAATTGCCAATCTTAATGACTTAACAGAATTGGTGGCAGTATCGTTTAGAGCCGTCGTATTCGCTTCAATTAAACCGACGTCTAACGCTTGGAGAAGATCGAAAAATTCGCCCGTCAATGGATCGACGAACTTACCACTATCCGGGCGATACAAGTGATTACTAATAGCGAGTTCGAGAGTCAACGGCTTGCTTGAAGTAACAATTAAACCTTTTTTCTTGGCATCTGATAAATTTAAGGTCTTTCCGTTCGGCAAATTGTATAGTGAGAGTTGATCATTAATTATGTTGCATTCGACTGCCTCTGGTAGTTTGACGTACTTATTGCTTTTAGGGTTTTTGATCAAGGATGTTAAGGGATTAACTAATTCTTTGTCACAAGCTTCTTTGAGAGTGTATTTCGAACCAGTAACTGGGTGGGTGAATATGCTAGTAGCAGAATCGTAGAACTGCATGTCAATGGTGTCGTATAAGTCAAAATTACAGGTTTCGATATCGATAATCAATCCACGTTTTAACGCTTCGCTTAGAGGGATATTAGTAGAGGAGTTGGGATCTACAAATGTGCCGTTCAACTTGTCTATAATTCCCACCCTACATGTGTCGGCCAAATTTAGTACAGCGTTACTTTTTTTATCAAAATAACAAGGTAGCAACGGATTTACAATGAATTTACGTATGCTTTCATGTACTGTGATACGCCTATCTGTGTTCGGATCAAGTATTTTCCCAGACTTTTCATCATACAACCCCTGGTGAATCGCGCACGGTAACGAAATCGCGGCTTTATTATCGATTAAAATATTTAAGTCTAACGCTTCTTGCAAAGTCAGCTCGATGGGCTCACCCTTTGAAAAGTCTTTAACGCGACCGGTGTCACCGTCGACATAATGATTGTGGATGGCATCGATTAATGTCAGCTTCTTCCACACGCCCACCCTAGTATCGCGTACATGAACCGAATTAGGATCTATAAGATTAATTTCAATTGCCTCTATCAAAGTAACATAGTTGCCAGTTCTCGGATCCAAAAACAGGTGGGAGTTGGGATCGTAAATTTTAATGAGTGCCTCTGAAAGAGAAATAGGAGTTCTAACCTCAATAAGTATGCCTTTTTCAAATGCTTCCGTAAAATCAAAATGCTCAGTATCTATAATTCCACCATCAACCGCTTCGTCAAACGTATAGATCTCTTCATCAATTGTCACCAAAGTAGACGATGGGTCGAGATAACCTCTGCGTATTGCCTTGTCGGCTTTCCACTTCTGCTTATTTCTGGGGTTGATGAATTTACCAGTAGTAGGATCATAGTAGCCTTTGTACACAGCTTCTGGTAGCGTAAGTTGACTTTGGTAGGGAACTATAAACCCACGATCCTGTGCTTCATAAAGGTTCATTTCAGATTTACTTTCGGGATCGACAAAGTTACCCTTCTCTGGATCGATTAATTTCAAGATAATCGCTTCGTTTAATGTTATGATATCACTCGACTTCGGAGTCCTAACAGTTAGCACATTCGGATTTACAATATTTTCGGTTATTGCGTCGGTGAGCGTCATGCTGGTGTTGTTGATTTCAAACTGGCCAGTTTCGGTATCGTAGATTCGTAACGCTAAAGTTTCTTGCAGAGACCATGGCAACACTGTACTCAATATGTAGCCTTTATTATAAGCTTGATCTAAGCTCAATTTCGGATTGGTTAACACTCCCTTGTCAATATCCAATAATTTGGACGCAACTGCCTCAGACAACTCCACAATTTTCTTCTTTTGATCATCTTTTACTTTTGTTGTTGCTGGGTCTATTAGTTTATATTCGATAGCTTTCCGAATCGAGATCTCCTCTCCAGTAATGGGATTTAAAATTAATCCAGTTTGTGGAGAATAATAATTTAGGAGAATCGCCTGTAGAAAGTTGAGAATAATTAATTTCGTCTGTATTAGGTGATGCTCTAATGCAATGTCTAGTGTCACCAGTTCGCCATTGTGGCTTACGACCGTTCCACTCTCGGGTATAACAATTCGATTTTTTATGGCAATATCTAAAGGCACTAAAGTATTGCTTTGTATGTCTAACACCTGACTTATGTTGTCATCCACAATTTGTCTACTCACCGCTTCGTCTATTGAAACTAAACGCTTTGTCATGGGATCTTTGATTTTACCAGTGCCTGGGTCGTAATAACCTCTTCGTATCAAGGCTTCTAGAGATATTGGTCTTCGAATTGTTAACAAGTAACCTTCGTTCAGCGCAATCGGGAACGGTATTCTTTCATGTGTAAGCGTGTTAACCACAGCTCCTGCGGTAGGGTCGACAATTTTGGTGTCAACAGCATCAAAATAAGGAACAATTTGCATATTCTTCGGATCACGTATAGCAATCGACTTTGGATCGATAATGTTAGCATTAATCGCCTGTACTAAACTCAATTGGTTTCCGGTGTAAGTATCTCGAATCTCTCCACTATCCAAATCAAATTCGTCACTCTCAAGAATTTCCTCCAGCGTCAATGAGGGACGCTTCTCCTTCGGTTTATCTCGAACATTAATAATCCACTTCAGCTTGACCGCCTCGAAGAAAGGTACTCGCTTTCCGGTCTTACGATCGACCATATGTCCAGTGTTTTTATCAATTAAAGGTCTCTTCAGCGCGTCCCATAAAGTCACATAGGTGGGTGGTTTCTTCGTGAGGTCTTTCACGAGAATACTTTCGGGATCAAAAAGTTCCAATTCGTATATGAGATGCTGGAAGGTAATTCTCTCCAACGTTTGTGGATTCACGAAGCAGCGCATTTTCAAATCGTAGTAGCCCAATTCGGCCAGCTTGTAGGGTGTTAAATCTTTAGAAATTACAAGAGAGTAACTGGGCTTTTCGTGTAGCAAAGTAACCGTGTTGCTATTAATTATTTGAATCGTATCCAGAGGACTAATTTCGTTTTGTTCAAGGGCATCTTGAACGGTATACGGTAACTCGTTGCCATTGTAGATAATTCGGCAAATTTTCGGTTCAATTTTCTTCTGAGTAATCGCATCTCCAATTGCGAGCGTTACCTCCTCCTTCGGCACGCTAACAATCGTTTCCTTTTGAATTATTGTGGTGGTTTGCTCTCGAGATTTCTTCTTATCCTTAATTGCCTTTACGACAGCAGCTCCGGCTAAGACTGGAGCAGCAATTGGAGCAGCGAGCGTTCCGACTATTGCGATCAATCCCATTTTCGCCGCCTTTTTAAAGTCGACCGATTTTCCGGACTTTTGATCTTTAATTTGTCCAGTTTTAGAATCGATTAGCCCCCTTTTGATAGCCTGCTCCACAGTGACCGGCTTTTGCGAATTAACATCGTAAATAACGGAGTTGGGATCTATAATTTCCTCCTCGATCGCTTCGGCGAACGTTAGCAACTTATCGGGCGCTTTCGGATCGTGAAACTTGTTCGATTGCTCGTCGTAAATGGTCTCGAACGCCTCGGCTATGTTGAGCTCTGTGATTTTGACAGAGCTATCCTCCCGTAACTCCCTAGATGTGGATTCGGTGAGAGTGGAAGGAACGGCCTCCAATATTCCTTCTTTAAGCGCATCGCTGATGTTGATTTTTATTCCAGATTGGGGATGTGTGTAAGTTCCAGAATTCATGTCGACCAATCCTTTATTAACCGCATCCGAGAATGACATTTTAATGTCCTTGAGGGTGGTTGTATTTTTCGTTTCCTTCTCATCGACAATTATTCCCTTTTCGCGTGCCTCTTCTAAGCTGTATATCTCGCCTGTATTTGCGTCCTTAATTTGATTTGTATCAACCATGATGTATCCCGAGAGAAGCTCGATTGTTTTGGTGGTTACAGTATGTACAGAGGTGACAGTCGCAGTAACTGTAGTAATCGGTTGGGTACTAATATGAATGGCGCTTGGGAGAGGTTTTATAATTAGCAGACCAGTGTCGACCGCTTCGGAAATAGGTATGATCTCACCAGTTGCTGGAACTGTAAACGTTCCGCTATCCTCATTAATTAACTTGGATTCGAGAGCCTCATTAATTTGGACACTGTCAGTATTGGTAGGATAGGGAAGCGCCATGATAAAGTTATCTTTAATAGCAACCTCCAAAGGTTTCCTTTCTTTTGTAATGGGATGAACTATTTCTTTATTCTCGGTATCGATTAAGCCACGTTTCAAGGCAACTGGGAAGGTCATACCAGCAGGCGGTATACTTTCAGGAGATTTTGCCGTATCAAAAATGTTGGCATCGACCGCTGCTTGTAATTTCACCTCCCCAAGTTCGGTTCTAACAACACCAAGATTTTCATCTACAGTACCAGTTTCTAAAGCCTGCTCTAATGTAACTTTATAACCGGACACTTCAATTAAAGTACTTAATGGGTCTACAATATCACATATTATACCTTCGCGAATCGATAAATGGGCACCGGTTTCCGGATGAACAATTTTGCTAGTATTCACCTCAATCAAACCCTGTTCAAATAGTTCAGGCACAGATAGACTGTGATTCAATGGCACTAACAGCTCGTTTGTACCTTCCGGATCTAAAACCCCTCTCGAAATCGCCTGATTCACAGTTAGGACGTCTCCCCGTTGAGGATCTACAATTTTACCCTGATTTCCGTCAAGTTTATTCAATTCAATCGCCTCCTGTAAACTTAGCGATTCGCCATCCGGACTAACAAAAGTGTCCCTTTTTTCCAAAATTTCTGCAGTTTCCGAGTCAATTAGACCTTTCTGCACAGCTTCCTTCGGTTTGACTATTTTCTTGCGCAACTTTTGTAAAACCACCTTCTTCGCCTCTCGATCGGGACTAACTGATTGAGCACGTCCAATTGAAACTCTATACTTCGGTTCGATGGTTACACGATTCCTCGTTCGTTCCCCCGGTGACAACACCTCGGCATTTCCTTCCAAACTAATTGTTGTTACTGGTAGCAACTTTTGCGACGTTTCACTTGCGGATACTTCCGAAATCTCTGGTTTATGAATAGAGTACGATAGGTCACTGATTACAATAGGAGACTTAGATTCTAAAACAAGATTGGCTTCCTGCGTTTCGTGTTTGGTTAATGTTTCTTTATCTATCAACCCTCGATTGAAGGCGACATCTAGAGGTAATTCTTCGCCGGTATTCGGATCAGATATCAGTACTCGCTTCATTGTTCGAATAACAGTAGCGCCGGCCACTAAAGGTGCTCCAATGATAGTTAAAACTCCCAATTTCGCCGCCTCACTCAAAGTGATAGTACTTCCGGATATGTCTTTATAAGTAGCAGTCTGTCTGTCAATGATACCCTTATTTATGGCTTCGTCTATTGTAATCGTAGCCCCAGACGAGGGTTCGATCACCTGAACCATGCTCGGTAGTATTCGTCTATCATCAATAGCTTCAAACAGAGTTTGAGAACGTTTATTATCTGCGTCTATTATTAAAGCGGAAGCAGGATCATAAACAAGACCTGGTTCTAATTGTACAGGCTCCAGTGATTTGATTTCAGTATAAACTGGCGGATGCTTCTCAACTACGTGCGACACTTCAACTTTAACGGGTTGTCCAACCTGTTTCGTAACCTGAAGAAGCCTCTGTTTCGTTTCTTCAACCTTCACGCTTTCCTCCAATATAATGTAGCCAGACGCGATTGCTTCCTGCATGTTAATACGTTTCTTATCCAAATTGTATTTACCCGTGTTATCTAGCACGCCCTTCTCTAAACTCTTAACGAGAGAAATTTTTCTGTGATTAACCGGTTCAACGACCAAAGCCGACGAGGGATTAATAATTTTTAAATTTATGCATTCTTGAAAACTCACCAATCTGTCAGTACCTGGAATGATAAACATGCCGGTTATGGGATCGAAAAAGTTGCGCCGAATGGCTTCTGCTAGTCTCCATCCATCGGCCGGTAGTTCAAAAACTTGCCGCTCCGACGTGGTTCCCACGCGTTCATTTGTAATAAAAGTTGTGGTCGTCTTGTGCTCTACGTCCATTGGTTCATCTGGTGCGAGACGAATTACTTTAATCGTAGTTTTCGTAGGCGATTGCGCTCTTTGAGGTGTAGATACAGTTTCAGTATCTGGAGAAATTCGACCTTCATTCAGGGCTTGTACTACCGAAATAACTTCGCGTGTCTCTGGATCCGTAAAAGTCTGATTTTGATTGTCGATTAAACCCTGTTGCAAGGCTTGTGTGTAAGTTATTTTACTACTAAGGTACCGATCACTGGAAGTTGTTACGGTAACATACCGTTGCACTAATTTGCATGTGGTTTGAGTGGTAACATTAATCATAAGTAAACTATTTAACAAGGCGGCACCCTCTGGGGTAATCAAATTATGAGCGATGGCGTCATTTAAAGGCACTACTTTACTTTTAGTAACATCAACGAAATTACCTGTTTTTGGATCAATGTAACCCTTAAATACCGCCTCGAGTACTGTTAACTCTCGGCCGTCCTCGAAGATTCCTATTTTCCTGGTTAGCATTTCGTAAATCTCAGACTTCATCTTCCCTAAGTGAACGCCTTCCTCAAAGGATACCAGCTTGCCGCTCTTTAAATTTACCACTAGACTACCGTTAGACTTTTTACTTACGAAGCCTTTGGAACTTGCCGCGTTAAAACTGATAAAATCGTCTTTGTCGGGAGATTGAAAACCGTCAATGTCAAAGATGGATTTTTGGGTTACGGAAGTTATGTAACCGCGCCGGACAGCTTCCGGAATTGTAAAAACTTCGCCGCTTACGTTATCTTTAAAGTTGCTCTCTGCGGAAACAATACCTTGGCGCAATGCATCCTCCAAAGTGAGCAATTCGCGCGTTTGCGTATCAAGAACAGATTTAATCGAATTAGAATCTAAAACCCCTCGCGATACTGCTTCGGGTAGTGATAACTTAGACTGGTGCAACGGTGAAAAAATCTTACCCTCACTATCAATTAAATTTTGATCACAGATATCTTTAAGAGTCATAGGTTTCACAATATACTGCCGCCTTTTTGCCTCTAATAGGGGAAGCTTTTCGTGAGCCATCACATATTTCCCTAACTTCGGATTTATAATACCCTTCTCCAAAGCTTGACTTACCGTAATTTTATCATCATTCGACTGATCTACTACCTCTCTAACGTTACCGTCGAGAAGATCCGTCTTAACGGCAGCGTCAATTTGAAATTTGTTACCCGAATTACGATCCACAATCCAACCGGTACGTTCATCGATAAGACCCTGATTAATCGCATCGTACAAACATACAGCTCCCGTTTTTAGTTTAATTTCCTTGTGTTTAGTGTATGTGATAGTCGCATTTGAAGCCAACTGATAATCGTCAACTTTTCCATCACCTTCGAAATTTGTTGATTGCGTTACCTTAATTCGTTTCTCGGACGGGTCTAAGAAGCCTTGTTCAGCTTCGTAAATTTCCCGTTGTATTGCTTCTAGTAACGTCAAGTTATGTCCATCTTCTCTAATACCGCAGGGACTCGATAAACGTTCAGCAATTTTCGAATCGATCAAGCCTCGTTGTATAGCCTCCTCTATCGTGATTTGAACACCATCAGAAGATGCAACTAGTTTCCCGGTGCGAACATCTAAGATTCTAGACGAGATGGCGTCACGCACTGTCATTATTTCGCCTGTGTACGGATTTACGATTCCAGGTGTGTCTATAATACTGTCGGTTCCTATACCCTCGTGCACTTTATGTACCCGTTTTAGAGATTTAATTTCGCTAAATTGCATACTTGTACCCCATTTGGGTGGCAAGTCCTGATTTAGGTGTGTGGTGGTCGTGTACTTATCAAACGGTCGACCGTTAGCGACGTTATCGACTTGATCGGCGTTATTGAGAGAATCGTTCTTGTTTATCGTGACTGTGGTGCCGTTTTCTTTTTTTAAAGATTTTGTTTGTGTAAACCTATGTGAAAAAGAACAGTAGGCATAAAGATCAAATTCAAAGAACAATGTATAATAAAAAGTGCACAGTATGAAATTCAATGCAGTGTAGTGTGTTTTCTAACCACATCAAATCTCGCATCAAATACTTTATTACACATTCCTATATTTCAAATAATGTGATCTGAATACATGTTGATGCAAATTGAATTGAACTGATGTAAGGAATTTAATTTGTTGATGATTGAAGAAAAAAAGAAGCAAATATTAAAACAAAAAAAAAGCACTTACTGCTTGCTGTAATGTGTCGTACTCGTATACGATGATGACTGTTCTGTAGTAGTACTCATGTGGAACTCTGATCGGAATGTACGGAATGGTTGTGGCTCCATTTGTTCTACGAGCCTCTGAAAAATTGAAATAGAAATAACATGGTGCTTAAGAAGGTATAATGACTGATGTTAGTACAACAATCTCCGTGCATTACATAATTATTTCCACTACAAATCACTTAACAGGTGTCTAACTTGAAACAATAATAACACCCACTTCAATTTAGTGGTGTATTAAAGGAGCGCCATCTCATCTCATTTTGCCTATTTATTATCTGTTTAATTTTCTGTGACTAAATAATAATGTGAGTGGTGGTTTCCTCGTAATTTCCACGCTTCTTGATATGCACATAGCTCTTAGATCACAAAAGAAAGATAAACGCAGATATATTTAAATTTATTCTTATTAACGGCAAGCATTTTATTGTTAAAATTAATCTCCTATACAAAGTTTAGAAATTGCAAGCGTCAAACGTAATCGTGCCATAAAAAAGATAATGCAAAGCATGACTAATAATAAAATTGAAGCTATTTTAAACAAGATATAAAATACCTATCTATGTCACAGTATTGTTACTGATATATGATAAAATTTTCATAAACATTTGTAAGTTATCTAAAACTTCAAACATCTAACCAAATATTTCTTGAAAGAAACAAAAACGACGCCGCTATGGAGCAACTACTAATTTGGAACAAATAAAGAAGTTTTAAAAATATATTTAAAATTAAAATAAAATTCAAAAACAGGAGCAATAGGCGATTTATATGTAAGCGAAAGGGTACACGTCAAGTTCTGTTCTGTTTACGCAGTATAAAACCCATATTCTAATTACCCACTTAGCAAAGATACCAAAAGAAGGTGTAATGAGCTTTCATTTGCAACCCAGAACAATTTTTCAGTAATCACAATCAGAAAGTGTGCCTAAATGTGTATCTCATGAGTAATATAATACCACTCTCTTTTAACGAGGTAGAAAATGTACTACATACACGTCTACTAGACCACGAATTTGAATAGTTTAGTAAAAATCCTAGGTATATCGATCTAATACAGACAATATATACGCGACAGGGTAAGCATCCATTTCCACGACAGAATCTACACTCTTATAAGCAGTAAAAGCGATGTTATTGAAAACCTTCTCATTTGGGAAATAGTAGGTGGTACCTTGAGGTGAAAAGAAGGGGCCTTGCAAACTATGATAATTTTGCGACAATTTGTCATACTTACTCTATTACTCAAATGTAATCTGTTCCTGTTTCCATGTTACTAGATTAGATTAATTGCCAGTTTTTGTTTGTAATTTTGCGAATTGTTCATAAATTTTGTGAACCTGTGGCGAGCGTAAAATCGTGCGGTCCATTATGTATCAAATGAGAATTGTTGTATTAATTGCACAACCTAATTCTAATATATTATGTATCAAATGAGAATTGTTGTATTAATTGCACAACCTAATTCTGAATAATATATATATACACTGCGTCGAAGATAAGGATACGATAATGGTCAAATTAAGGAAAAGTTGCGCAGTCAACCAGTTATTATCATGTTTTAAAGAAAACCAGAAAATTCCGATTACTTCCGAAGTTATGCCGAAAAACTGAAATTTGTCAGTTTTGTTTATATTTTTTCCTGTTCTTATTTGATCAAATACAAAAAAAATTAAAAATACTTTCTCATCGTCACTTTTTAAGTTCTACAAGACAACGTTGAGAAATTTTCAATACAACGCTTCGTTTCGGAGAAATCATCATCAACTTTATTTTTTATATGGCCCGTACATACTGTACTGAGTAGCATTTTTTTATTACGAATACAACGACGTACAGCACACATAAAAAAACAACAGTTGGAAAAGAACTGTTGGTTTCAACAGAATGGGGCACTCGCGCATAACGCCCTAATCGTGCGAGAAAAATTATGAATAGTAAAGTATTTGCTTTGTATAAAAACATTCTAGATCCTAGAGGAAGTTCAATAGCCACCTAGCCACTATCACCTAGCTTCTGCACACGAGCGTCAGGAATGGAGGTTTCCCTGCGCTGCTATACTAGGTTCCATGGAGCCCCCCAGTGATGAGGCACAAAGGTGCTATTCAATGGCGACGCCACGGGTGGATTGTGGAATTGAAGTCTGGAGTCTACCACCAAGACAGCCAGCTGTATAACCCGAACCTAATGAGCGGGTCATCACAACCAAATAACTCTCAACAAAAATAAAAATCTAAATAAGTGGCCATGATTTTATATTTAAACTTTTAATTTCGAATAATTCAATGACATTTTGCTATATGGTTTGGGATTTTGGTACCTACAGTATTCTTGAACAAATTGTATATTTTCTGGCCTTACCTGTATACTGTTCGACTTGAAGTCAGTTAATAGGCCAAGGTGTACAGTGTACAGGGTGGACCCAGCTGGGAAACCGGCGTTCCCTCCATGAAATGACCGAATTTTATAAAAGGCAACGTCTTTATTTAGTGGGAATCCTTTTGCCTTTTTGCTAGTTACATCTGTATCGTATTCATTTTTGATACTTTCCCTAATTTATTTTGCATTCATATCGGTTAATGTTAGCTTTTACATTAAGTTTACCGCACCGTATTTACAGCTTTTGCTTCTTCTTGCACCGTAACTTCTACCGCTGCGTTTAATTGCGCGGTAAGATTTTTGCTACTTTCTTTTGCATTCATTATAATGGGGGGATGATACTGCTTCGCTTTCCTGCATTTTATTTCCCGCAGACGCCGCTACTTAAATCGCGTTTTGTTGCTTTAATTCCCCCTAGGGAACTTACCGTAGGACCCGTGTACCGTAATTTTGTTTTAGTTCTTCCTAAGTGACTGCCGCCATTTACTGAACTCATACGATCCCCGGAACTGCCATTTACTCTGATTCAGTTTAGCCAATTCAACCAATTTCTTTTCATTTACTATTTATCAATTGAATTGAATACATTATAATTTGCATAATTCACAAAACTTGGATGCAGTTAATTTGAGTCCAGATGAATGCATCTTCTCTCAGCTACTGAGGATGTAATTTAAGGGCATTACTTAATTCAAATGAAGGGTATCGCAATAATGCGTTGCGCTTTTGTTCATTACTTTGTTTTCCCTAAAATGTAGCCTTTACGAAATTAAGGGTTCGGCTAACGTCAATTATTTGTGATTAGTTTTGCCCAAATATGCGAGCAGCTAACGTAAATTCCAGTAAATTTGGCTCAAAGAATTAATTATTCCCTTTTGTTTGCTTCTTTTGTAATTGATGTTATAAGTATTTCACAGTCAGCTGTAGTCAGGTTCTGTAAACAGGAAGTCATTACAGCCCTGAAATACCAGTTCGAGTTGACCTAGCCAATCGGTGCTGAGTTCTGACCCTTATTCGTGCGTTCGTAATAGACCGAAATGTTCAGGATCAGTCGACGAAAAAGAAGTGCTGAAATTCCCTCACCACTTCGTCATCGCGGGCGATTCTTGTAGTAGTATTCGCGCAAGAGTTGGAAAATCCAAAACCATTGTGTATCCGCACTAAAATAAAGGTACCACGCTCGGTACCACGTAAACGATTCGTTGAATAATTATTCCGAAACACCTGAGCCTCGCGTCTGTGATCTAAACCAATCTTTTTTTAAACCACGAGTCTGCTCCTCTTTTTGAATTAGTAACAATTTAGCCACAGGGTGTTCAGATTATTTTGCTCAGATGATGAACTACTAAAAATGCATTCGTGCATTCCTGAATCATGATTTTGAATGATGTCTTTAAGCATAAAGCTTTCCGAATGGCAAAAGCTTTTAGTTCTTCAATTTACAGAAAACCGATTTCTTGATTGATATGAAATACAACTATGTTGGAACGTCCGTACGCATTCTAATTGCCATGGCAGAAAGTCTCTCACACGCCATTTGTTGTTAAATTTCCAAAATGTCAATTAATGAATAAACTTAATTATCTCCTATCTTGTTTCTGTGCTATTTATATAAACGACGATCATTAAAATTTTAACTTAAAAATACTACATGATACAACAGAAGAACAATATCACCTAGGATAGTCCGAGTCTAGGAGAAAATGACGCAAGTACATCAACCTGAAGACTCGCGACAATACCTAGCACGTCTCTCATAAATCTAGAATATTTTCGGATGGCGAACTTTTAAACCACGTCGTAATTAGAAATACTCAAGGTTAACACACATAATTAACTGTAATTAATTTAATTATCTTTGCTAAGCTTGAGATTCGTCGAAATTTGGTATATACAGTGCGTTTGAGGTAAAAGATACGAAAAATTTTTCAAATATAATTTTATATGTATAGAAAACTTAAAAAATGTAGCATACCGTGTGCTGTCATGATGCGTGGTAACTGTTGTGTTACAAAGAAAAAGCAGATGCAATCTCCCCGTGTAACATAACAGACGCTTCGCATTCTGACAGCACACGGCATGCTAGATTTGATAAGTTTTCTAAATATTGGATCGCGAATTTCTCCATTTTTTGTATATCAGCCAGATGCATATTTTATGTTGTCGTGCAGCAAATTGATTGCTATTTTCAAATATCTTAGAAAAACATAGGCACTGCATTTGAAAATCAAAAATGGCATCGATTTCCGATGATACCGGAAGTTCCAATATCCGATCGAATAGATCGTAATGTCACATATAAAATTATACTTGTTTTCTAAATATTGGATCGCGAATTTCTCCATTTTTTGTATATCAGCCAGATGCATATTTTATGTTGTCGTGCAGCAAATTGATTGCTATTTTCAAATATCTTAGAAAAACATAGGCACTGCATTTGAAAATCAAAAATGGCATCGATTTCCGATGATACCGGAAGTTCCAATATCCGATCGAATAGATCGTAATGTCACATATAAAATTATACTTGAAAAATTTAAAATTTTTCGTATCTAGCCAAATATATGACTCTTTTGTCTTGAACGCATTATATACGGGATCGCCAGATATCAAATTTCTAGCACTACCGTGTAGGACTACAGTTTCTTGGGATAAGATTTGTTAACCATTTTTACAAAGTGGGAAAATGTCCTATACCC